GCCGCTGCCGCCTTGTCTCCCAAGCTTGTCTCCCTTCATGATTTCGCCTTTGGCTGCCGCTGCTGCCTTGTTTGTGAAGCTTGTCCCCCTTCATGATTTCGCTCTTGGCTGCCGCTGCCGCCTGTGAAGCTTGTCTCCCTTCATGATTTCGCTCTTGGCTGCCTCTGCCGACTTGTCTTCCAAGCTTGTCTCCCTTCATGATTTCGCTCTTGGCTGCCGCTGCCGCCTTGTCTCCCAAGCTTGTCTCCCTTCATGATTTTTTTTCTTGTTTTTACATGTTTTAGGTTAGGTGCGTGTGTGCGTTTGCGAGCTTGGGTGCTATTGCGGCTGCAGGGTCCCGCTGCCCTGTGCGCTTGGGAGCTTTTGTGCAGGGTGCTGCTGCTGTGTGCGCTTGGGAGTGCTGGCGCCGTTGCTGCTGGTGCTGCCGGAAAGGTCATTTTCCTATCTGGAGTCTATGCTGGTGCAATTCCCTAGATAGCGTGAGCTATTGGGTTCCTATTTCAAGTATAGGAAGAGCTGCGTGAGCTTGGGTGCCGCTGCGGGGTGCGCGCTTGGGGCCGCTGCTGTGCGCTGGCGCCGTTGCTGCTGCGGCCGGAAAAGTCTTTTTGCTATCTGGGGTCTATGCTGGCGTAATTTTGTTATATAGATTCTTTGATTGCAAGTAGCATTGCCTTCCCCATACAACTTAAAAAAAACCACTTCACTGCTGGGGACTGGCCCTTAGCAATGTTTGGGGCAACGTGAATGAGGCTCTTGAGACAACTCATCGCATATATAATTCTATAAGGAAGTGGGAGATGGCCAGGTCCCAGCATTTGTCATCCTGGTCCTTTTCACGAGAGGTAGCTTCAGCTACCTGAGTTCTCCTTGCTTTAGCACAAATGTATTATAGTGGGAGGCCAGGATCGTGCAATGAATCACAGGCTCTAGGTAAGGATTCTTCATCATTAGGAGCCCCTTAGATCGCATCCCCCTCGTCCTCATGCATTTTCTGCATCTCATCTCATCAAGAATCATTGTATGCTTTGAGACCTCAGTCCGCTCTTGCTTACTTGGTAGCTACCTTTCATTTATCTCTTCCTCTCTCAAGTTAGAAAGACTTCCTCTTTGGTCACCTTCGGGAAAGGCAGCAGAAGTTTGACGACGCGCTGGGAGCACCACGGACATGTGAACTTGGTGGCCGCAAACAGATCAGACTTGTTGAGAAGAGAGTGCCACGAGGCAATCTCTAACCCTCGTGCTAAAGAATTTTATATCAGATCTATATTGAGAATGATGAAACTAAAGAACACGGCTGAGTTCAGTGATTCAGAATGGAAATCAAATCAACAGCTTTGCATGAGAAAAGGCACTGGATTGATCTTCAAATCATTTGGCATACGTATGTGCTTGTGTTTTGTTTGCAAGTTCTGCTTGTGTATCATAGGCCCACCCATTGGTTTCACCTGCCAGGCTCTGCAGAAAGCTCTTCTGGGCAGCAATGTTGAGAAGGCAGCATTTTTGCAGTAGCCCACCTGGTCAGCTCGTTTGCTATGAAGGGCCAAATATCTCTCTAGATCCTCAATACCTGCATCGCATCACTAGGATCAAGCAGTCCTTGAGCATTTATTTGGAGCCTCCACGACGCAGCTAGATTTTGGAGTCTAATGGTCCTTTCCTTTTATATAGATAAAGACACTCTAATCTTCAAGAAGACTCAAATTCACCACGTTACCTTGCCAGCTGGGGCATCACCAGAACTTTGAGACCATTCTTGACGATTTAAAGTAACTTTAACGCATTTCCACAGTTACATAACTATGTGAAGAGTGGCCAGATTGAGAGGCAACAGCCGATGTGTTTTGCCAACCTGAAGGCCAACATTTGTTACGCCCAGTCTCAGATCTATGCTGCAATGGGTGGCAGCAAAGGCGAGGCTAGATGTGGATGGACTCTTTTTGCACGTTCAAAATGAAGATATTTTTTTCACCTGCTGGACACGAGGCCTTGGCAGTGCCATTGAGTCGTTGAAAGAAGCAAGGAAGTTCATGGCAGATGCCAAGAACCAGGAAGTTCGTTACATTGGCCGGGGGATGTTGTAAGTTGTGTGTAACCCAAAGTTGGGGTGTCCCCGCATTTCAGATGTGGTATCTAGTTTGTTTGGGGTCAGCGGTCCCCCTGCATGCCACTCTGTTGAATCGGTTGACCTTTCGACTTTGTTCTTCAATTTGGAAAAAGCTCTCGGCCACATGGCCTTGGAGCATTGGGGAAGCACTTCAACAATGAACTGCCCAGGCAACGACGATCCCAGCTGCTAGATACTCGACTCAAATGTTACTGTAGGATGATTTCGGCATCCTTGGCGTCCAAGTACAGGTGTACAAAAATGATGGGACACTTGCAGATTTGAGTCGCAAACCCCGCGGCCATTCTCTTGCTTTCAACAAGTCTGACTAATTTGGTGGCGAGACAGGACGGCGAGCTCGAATGCTTGCAGATCATCAGTGAGTTGCAGTTGAGCTCGCAAAAGGCTGATCAGCCGGTTGGTGACGTCCTGCTTATGGCACAGCGAAACAGTGGAACTTAAATGTTCTGTTGGTGCGTTTATAGGGCGCTCTGAAGCTTGCAGCTGACCTGCAGCTCGGCCATCCTTATGACTCAGGGCGACCTTGCCGTGGCCACTGGACAAGAAGCCTTGGCCGTGACGCAGGTGCAGCAAAAAGCTTCCCGAATGTCGAATGCCACTGTCTTGATGTGTTTGTTTCCAGCTTATGTATGGAATCAGCTCCATGTTGCTCCTCCGCTAGCTACCATCATGGTTCATATGTTCAATTTGCCTTTCTGCAATTCCGCTTCGCCACCTTCACTAGAAGAACATCTACTTTGATGTTGGTCCAATTAACTATATACTGGTTTTCTTCAAGACTCCTCCGAACTCCTCCCTCATTATTTTTACCCTTTGATCTCTTCGCAAAGGCTCTTATACTCTTCGCTCTTCAATGCTCACTGGCATTGGCTTGCTTCTTTTGTATCGCATCCTGTCGCTGAGGGCTCACTTCCTCTCCCCTTCTCGTCATCCTCCCTTCTCCGAGACCTGCTTGGGGCAACCTGGATCCCAACGTTCTTGCATCAAATAATGGAGGAACATGGAATCAAAAGTCCGTGTCTCGTCAGCTCGAACATCGGACAAAAGCGAACCAGCCGAACCATTTCCGGCATGAACTAAGACATACATTCAACATCATTCAGCTGCCAAGTCGCAGAGTCTCTGAGTTACCCACTGCTTTAGGGCGGTCTTGGCGTTGGACCTCTGGCTCACCTCTCTCGGTCAGAGACCCCGGTCTAAATTGTGGCTGAGGCGCTCTTGACCTGCGCAGGTGTCGAGCAGGCCACAAGATGGTCCAATAGAAACATGAGTCATCATGAGTCATGAGCCAGCCCCGACAACCTGCGGAATAAAGGCTTGCGTACGCTGGATTCACGGCATCAGCGTGTGGAGATGGCCCGAGCATGAAAAAAAGAGCAAAACCGGCAAAACGATGGTTACAAGCCTAAGAACCAAGGACCCTCGAAGGTGAAGGTTTTCAGGGTCCAAACACGTCCAAGCCCTGCTATGCAGGGTCAAAACCCTCCATAGGAGGGCACAATGATGGCTAGGGAAGTGAGTTTGTGAGTCTGAACCTTTAGTCAAACTTTAGTCGATCACAATCTCTCAGACGAACGCAAAGAGCTCCATATGCAACGGTGAGGGCAAGGAGGCATGGTGTTCAACTTATCTAGGAACCAAATGAATAGTGCGAGGTAGTAGCGGCTAGGCTCCTGGGCAACGGGGGCTTAACGAAAAGAATTAGCATATATAGAATTCTTTCTTTTCTCATTTGCACCCCTCGAGCAAGGCTGCACTGGCTTCTTTCTTGCATGCCCCATGCCTTTGCTCACCCATGATTTGGAACAGACAGTGCCACAGGACATATGTTTTGGCCGTCATGTGCAGCACAAATTGGGGACTGGGGACCTTCAGACTCGTCATGTGCAAATCTTGCATTCAGAGCAGTGATACCTGAAGGATTCAGCAAAGGCATTTGAGTCAAACTGTGACAGTGCTTTTGAATTTGCATTTTGAACAACTTTTCAGCTGCAACTGGGGCTCATCGCCAGGCCAGCGGGAACAAATCGAAAGAGGCGCACCCCGGGGCCAGCGGGTCGGGATGTGTACGCGAGCGTACAACAAACGGGGATTTGCTTGCAATGACTTGTTCCAGTCTGTTGGTTTGACGTTCTGGTCACCATTTGTTTGTATGCCTGAGTTCAGCCAAGTGGGGTTGCTCTTGGAGTTGGGCAACGTTTGATGGCGGTTGTGTGAACCTCCGCCACGGTGCTTTGCTTGGCTGTGTCTTTTCTTTCTTTTGACCCCGCCCGCCCTCTCCTTTTTTTGAAGGGGGTGCTTATTCGTTGCGACCTTTTAGGTAAGTTTGGGGGTTGGGCTTCTCCTTTTACTACCCTTGCACGGCTGGCTTGCTGTGCTGGTCCGGGTCGCATTTCTCCCCACTCCAGGTTTGCGAGAGTTAAAAAGTGGCGTGTCTGGTGTGCAGGGGGCAATGTGCTGCTAATGTGAGTCTTACTTCCGGTTGGGTTTGGTGCTTCACCCTTCTTAACAATTGCTAGGCACATCTCCAAAAAGATTTGTTTGAAGCGCCTAAAAAAGGACTGTAATGTGAGTTTGCCAGACATGCTCCTTTTCGCAAACTGCTAAACGGTTCAAATCCAAGTAGCTTTGGCCGAAGCCAGCGTCTTACTTCCGAAGATTGAACACTCTATTTCTCCATAGTCTTGCTCAGTGGAGGTCTGACACAGTGTTTGCCGACTTTCGTCGCCTTGGTTGGAGTTCTCGTTATGTGGAATGGTCAGTTGTGTTTCATATGTTTGTCAAGCATTTTCTCAGGCAGCGGCCTTGCTGCGGCTGGTCTCTGCCAGTTTGTCATCTCAGAATGAAGGTGAAGCATTGAAGTATGCAGAGATGGCCGAGATGAAGGTGGGTGGGCCGGTGGCACAACAGTGGCTGGTGGACGACCTGAAACCTTTCATTGCCTCTCTACAAGTGCAAAACTCAATGCATTCTGGAGTGGTTTAACAATAGCGGTTTTTTATAGAATGTTTCAGATTAGTTAAATGGTGCAAACCACATTCATTGCATTAGATGGGGATTCATTTGTTCACCTTAAATGGATACCGGGGCCCCCGGCCGCCTTTGGTGCCATTTTGCTCCCTCCTCTTCTCCTATCTCCACGGCCCACAGCTGTCAAGATCTGCAAAAGCCACCCGAGGGTTTTGATCGCCAATGGGGCCTCAGAATCACAGTTTGCAGGGAGGCGATTCTTTGGCGTGCAAACTGCTTTGCCAAGTACTCGTGCCCTCTAAGTTCCTTAAAGTGCAATGGCTGTCAAATTTTATGCATTGTCAAAGCCTTTGCAGTGCTTCTTTATGTGCCAGGCAAAGGAGGCGGATGACATTGAAAAGGAGGCCCAAGCAACCTACAACGTCGCAGAGATTCTCTTGCGCAGGCCTTTTCACAGCTGTGCTGTTTGCCTTGTTTGTTTTTGGGAAGAGAAGAACTATATAGTAAAGAGTAAGATGCTCCTAGAATATTCTAGAATCAGAAGCTTAAACGCGGGCAAATCCAGTTTTCTTCGGCGTCGCACCAGGGGGGGATAAGTCTGGAGCAATCAAAAGGTCCAAGGAGCAGCTCGCTCGGTGCGTTGAAAGGACGGGTGAGAGCATGGTGGTGAATAGCGCTGCTTGTGTTTGTTTTTATACAAGATACTGTACTTGTAGATAATGGTAGATTATGAATGTAAAGTCTACTACATTCTTCTTGTTCTTCATTCTTCTTCTCATTCCCCACTAGCCATGCTATGGGGTCTTGCAAAACTAATAGGCGGACGGGCGCTGTCGGGTCACCGTCAGAGCTGGTGGGCGGATGGCGTCCCGGTCATATTGCGCTGGTGTCCCGGTCATATTTTGATGGTGTCCCGGTCATGTTGTGACGGTGCCCCGGTCATGTTGTGACGGTGTCCCGGTCATGTTTTGATGGTGTCCCGGTCATGTCCCGATCTTGTTGTGATGGTGTCCCGGTCATGTTTTGACGGTGTCCCGGTCATGTTTTGATGATGTCCCAGTCATGTTGTGATGGTGTCCCGGTCATGTTTTGATGGTGTCCCAAACATGTTTTGACGGTGCCCCGGTCATGTTCCCGGTCATGTTTTGATTGTGTCCCAGTCATGTTGTGATGGTGTCCCCGGTCATGTTGTGATGGTGTCCCGGTCATCTTGTGATGGTATCCCGAACATGTTGTGATGGTGTCCCAGTCATGTTGTGACGGTGTCCCGTGTGTTGAAAACAGCAGCTGTTTCCAGATTTTGCTTTTTGTCCCGGTTTGTATCTTGCTATTGGGGCCTCCAGCTTGTTTCATTTTTCTTGAAGCTTCGCACCATTCCACTGCCAAGTCTTTTCACTTGCCCATTCAGCTTCATTCCCAGCATGTTTGACCATGCTCTTGGGTGCTGTGCTTTTTCGATACAGGTCCCTCTAATAAGCAAAAGCCCTCTTGAGAGAAAAATGTACCAATGAGTGCTAAACACATGAGATGCACAGTCTTTTTTTGCCAAAGGGCCCTTTCTGATCTCAGCGCATTGGTACTTGGTACCCATTCTTTCCACAGTCTTCCCTGCCTGTTGCTCCCTACTTGTTGCGTGTTGGTCATTTCCCCGCATAGCGAGAGTTATTGGGGTTCTTATTTCAATTTTTGGAAGAGGCGCTTGTGTGCGCTTTGGAGCTTGGGTGCTGGGCGCTGCAGGGTGGCGCTCCAGGCGACATGTCCATGGCCGTATCTGGTGCCGCTGCAGGGTCGCAGAAAAAGACACAAATCTATATACATACATCTTTTGCTATTTGGGGTCTATGCTGGCGTAATTAAGAGTTGTTGGGATTCTTTTTGCTTCAAGTATAGGAATGGTTGCATCTGTGTTGGTGCCACTGCAGGGTGTCGCTGCCAGATGTGTATGGCCCGTGTGCGCTTCGGAGCCTGGGTGCTGGTCGGCTGCCAGATGTGCATGACGTTGCCAAATGTGCATGCCGTGCGCCTTGGAGCTTGGATGTAGTGCCGCTGGAGTGTGCCGCTGCCGCAGTGTGCGCTTTGGGGGCTGCAAGGAAATGTCTGCGCCCTGTGCGCTTTGGAGCTTGTGTGCTGGTGCTAGTGCAAGGCGCTGCTGCCGGGTTGCTGCCAGATGTCCATGGCAGCTTGAGTTTTGGAGCTTGCGCTTTGGTGTTTATGGCAGTGCACATTTGGAGCATGGGTGCTGGTGCGGCGCTGCCCGCAAATATCTTTTGCTATTTGGTGTCTATGCTGGCTTAATGTGCTTTTCAATCCGGCCACTTTGGCGAGCGCACAGGTTCTTGTCGCGTGAGGCTTTTGCCTTGATGTGCGCACTTCTCAGGCATGTTAGACTTGCTTAGCTTGAGCCTGTGTTTCCTTGAATACCTGTTTCTGTTTTGACATCAGACATCACTTTGGGCGTGACTGAGCCCTCTTGGCAGCACTGATCACACCCTGTATGTTTCTTCCTGGGACTGTCAGATGACTCACACGATGACTCAAAAAAAACAGTTTTCATATATGCATCGTTGTCATTTTCTCTGCAGGCTTTTCACACGCAGCCCACACTTATTTTAGGAGACGCGTTTGGCGTGGAAGGTTGATTCACTGCGCAGAAACGTAGCGTTCCCGAATGCGTGGCGAAGGGTTCTTGTTTAACTCGGGGGATCTGGGGGTAGAGCCTTGTTCGCGACTTGTTGTCATATAGTCATAGCGTTCGCAACCCTCCGCAGTGTTGCGCTATGGCGCTTGCGTTGGGCGAAGCGTTTGGCGAGGGTTTTGGATGGAAGCGTGACATGTCAGATTCGTGTGAAATAACGAGGAAACGTGTGGAAACGTGAGAGGATGAAGTGTGGAGGATGATTTCACTGCGTAGGCGCAGCGTGTTGTGAGATCCGCAGTTTTCTGCGCGGTCAGATTGGGATTGACGTTTTGAAGGAGGTGGTTTTGGGGCGTCGGACGACTGTGACATTGGGATTTGCATTTCAGGCTGCTGCTTCGAAGCTGTGTTTTGGCGACTAGTCTCAGCTGAATTGGCGATGTTGGTGGGCGGGAGCACGCTCAGAACGTGTCGAAATCATTCCAAGCGTGTGGTGTGGCGCACATTTTGCTGAAGCTACGAAGACATGATATTGCCACTTTTCGTGGCAGGCGCAGTTTGTGCGGGTTTTTAGGCGTGGAAGTGCTATTCTCGTGGCAGGGCGGAGATGACTTTTGGAGGAAGTCTCGAACGAAATGCTCGTCTTGGAGACTTGACGCATGAAGTTTGGAGGAAGTCTCGTACGGAATGCTTGTGTTTCAGACTTGAAGTGTGAGTTTTTGGACAGTCTCGCGCAAAACGCCCGTTTCGGAGACTTGACGAGCAAATTTTGGAAGAAGTCGCGCGAAATGCTCGAGACTTTCTCACCAGAGCGTGCTTAGAGTTGCGCAAGAGTGTCCCACAACGCCCGCAAGGGTGTCCGACTGGAGTGTCCTACAAGAGTGTCCCGCAAGAGTGTCTTACAAGAGTGTCCGACAAGAGTGTTTCACAAGTATGTCCGACAAGAATGTCCTCCAAGAGTGTCCTACAAGGGTGTCCCACAAGAATGCCATACAAGAGCGCCCCGAAAGAGTGACCCACAAGAGTGTCTTACAAAGTTACAAAGAGTGTTCTGCAAGAGTGTCCCCCAAGTGTGTCCCCCCAAGAGTGTTCGACGAGAGTTTCCCGCAAGAGTGTTCGATAAGAGTGCCCCACAAGAGTGTCGGACAAGAGTGTCCCACAAAGACTCTTAATTATAAGAGTGTCCGACAAGAGTGCTCTACAAGAGTGCCCCACAAAAGTGTCCTACAAGAATGCCCCGCAAGAGTGTCCCACAAGAGTTTGCCACAGAGCCTCCCGCAAGAGTGTCGCTCAAGAGTGACCTACAATAGTCTCCTGCAAGACTGACATACAAGAGTGTCGGACAAGAGTGCCCCGCAAGAGTGTAGTGTCCAACAAGAGCGCCCTGCAAGTGTCCTGCGTGGGTGTCTCTAAGAGTGTCCTACAAGAGTGTTCCACAAGAGAGTCCTACAAGAGTGCCCCACAAGAGCGCCCTACAAGAATGTCCCACAAGAGTGTCCTACAAGAGTGTTTCGCAAGAGTGTCCCACAAGAATGCCATACAAGAGTGGCCCGAGAGAGTGATCCACAAGAGTGTCTTACAAAGAGTGTTCCGCAAGAGTGTCCTTCAAGAGTGTTCGACGAGAGTTTCCCGCAAAGTGTTCGACAAGAGTGCCCATGAGTGTCGGACAAGAGTGTCCCACAAGACTCTTAATCAAAGGAAGTTTAGAGGAACTTCCGTGTTACGAACTTTTACATTAGCTGTAATTCTAGTTAATTGTTCTACACCACTTATCAGACACCACTTATATACATCACTGATCATACACC